CCTATTGAGCTCTATTATTTACATAAAAAAAAATGTTTTAATCCATTATATTCTTTAAGTTTTAGAATTTATTTCTAAGCTCTTTAATATGATCTATGTATTTATTTTGGTTTCCCTTAACTGCTTTACCTAAAATTGTTTGCTTTTTTAGAAATGCTTGTTCATATTCTACATATTCTTTATTCTCAATCTTATACTTTTCCAAATTCTTGAAGAGTTTCTTGAGTGAAACCCCTACTGTTCATACCATCACCGAATGCCCAACAATAATTTCTAATTATTTAACGCCAAGTGTCAACGTCTTTTTTAATGTTTCCTCAATTTGGCTGTAAATGGACATCAAGCCATCTGCCCTTTGACTTCTGACCGCCCCCTTGAGTTCAGTTTATTTCATGCTTCGCTGCGGCCCCTATAAGCAAACGTTTTTATATACATATACGATATATTGTATATTTTCCCGAAAAACCTAACCTTACACAAAATATACAATTTCTATTTATATTTATATGCGTCCATTTGTTGACTGTTATATTGATATATGTATAGTGAGAACCTCTATTCCGATTCTCCACACAAAAACCCACAAACAACAAAACAACAATTAATGTAATGTAATGGAAATTTGCTTCCGCAATAATAAAATTTTTACATTGCAGATTTTATGCTTCAAGTCTAGACGACAATTTTGGAACGTGCTCAATTAGTGTTATATGAATAACAGGCTAATACCCCTTCCGCCACACCGCTGCCGATGCCAACCCCTTCTCCACTTTTGCCAGGCCTAAGCAAAAACAATTTGCCAATGACATCTGGCAATGCGAGTGACGCGACGGCGGCAATAATACTATTTCATAATTTTTACTACACACAAGTAAATACATACATATATTTTTTAAATACATATATACATATGAGCTGATATATGCATATACAATATATTCTCAAGTTGTGCGATATGGTTTAAATGGATTGGGCGGGCAGTCCCATACGAGTGCCCCAGTCGCAGTTCCATATAATCAGCACCAGCTAAAAACCAAAGTCGTGCGAAATTTGTTAATACTCGTAATACCACATAGCGCTAAGTGGGCCACTGGGGGGTATGATGGGAGTACAGATATACCTAGCACACATTAAATTGTTTGAGTTATGGGTAATCGATAATATATCAATAAGCATACAATTACAAGCCTAGTACAAGGCTGCGAGTATTAGTATATTAAATTGAAACTTATCGATAACATTATTGATTAAATGTCAAACTGCGTCTAAAGCGATATGAGAGTAAAACTGGTTTGTTTAGTAATTGAGATAGCCGATATATTATTCTGTAACTTATCGATAACATTAGCGATCAACTGGTTTGTATGATGAGGAAGAATATCGATACTTGCGAATCATCGATGGCCGTATTATTGACCATTAGCAGGGTATTTCACTAGTCGTGCCCACCCGCCAACAATATGCTCACTTGTTAAGTATAAATTTTCACGTCGCACAACGAAGCAACAGCGTGGGGGGTTAGGGTGAGGGCGAGGCAAGATTTGCGCCTGATGGCGTCGATAAAAACAAATTCGTAGACACTTGGTAATTGTTTTTCATATTCCGTTTGTGTTTTTGTTGCTGTTGCTGCGTTTGTTTTTATTTCAAATGCACATTAGTATAACAACAACAACAACTGCAACTACAACTATTTGCGGCGCTGAGCCCTGCGCAATTTGTTTGCAATTGAGCTCGCGCGCTATTCCCTAGTTGTTTACTGTTTTTTCTCTCCCCCTCATTCCTTCAGGAAAGTTCGTGAATCTCGTCATGTATTTAGATGCAAGCAGGAAGACAGCGCGCAAAGGAGGAGCGAAACAGTGGAAGGGGGCACGGCCGTGTAGCAGCGCCTACGCAAAGAATAGTAAAAGAGGCAATAGATTCGAAGCACACGACCGAACAACGCACAGCCATTCGCAACACGTGGGTGTGAAGAGAGACGGACAGGCGACATTTGAATAGAGTGCAAATGGGAGTGAACGCGGAAGAGAGAGGGAGAGGTGGCGCTGTGCACAGACCATGACTAATCACAACGGTGGTGGCATAAATCATTTGCAGACAAAGCAGCGGGAGAAATCTTTTAGCTCTTTATGGTTGCTGTTGTAGCTGCTGCTGCTGATGCTTTTGTTGTTGCGGCTGCTCCAAACAGGAAGAGCTTTCTGCACACACACACACACACACACACACACACACACACACACACACACACACACACACAGAAAAAAAGTTTGTTTTTACTGTAGGCAGACGAAAGAGCGGCAAAGAATAAAAAATCATAAAAACAAACGCCCAAACAAAATGAATACATAAAATATGTCTTAACCTTGACATTGAATACGACGAATACATAAAAAGAAAATGCCGGCAAACACGTTACACATACAGAGTCACACACACATAACAATGTGCGCTTGTGTGTGTGTGTGTATCTGCAAAGCTTAGGCACGCTCGGCAGCCGCAGCAGCAGCATTGGAAGGGCGAATTAAATAAATATTAAAGAGCTACAAACGCGCAAATCGCAAAGTCAGAAAATGCCTAAAAACGTTTGTTTATCAGAAATACAAGAAATAAAAATAAAGTCGCCGCGTGTGGCGCTAAAAATAGCAAGCAACAAAAAATCAGAAACAAAAATAAACAAATACGCAGAAGAAATAAAAAGCGATAAAAAAAATTGTTTGCTTTTATGAATTAAAAAGTGCAAACGCAGAAAATAATACAAATCAGCCGGTTTTTTGTCTCCATCTCCCTCTCTCTTTTGATAAGCAGCAAATGCAATGCATAAACAGAAGCAGGCACAAGCTTTGCGGCGAGTCTTCAAGAGAGAGACAGTGTGTGTAAAAGAGCGCGAGAGAGCGACTGTGTGTGTGTGACATAGGCGCAGCAACTGTGCGCTTGAAGCAATAAAACAGATCAAAATTAAATCAGCGAAGAGACACAAAGAATATTCGAAAGCTGCGACAAGAACAACAACAACAGCAAATGAGAGAGCCCAAAGAATAAAAATAAAAACAAATATTGCGGCCTTGAAAACTGGACAAAAGCAAGCACAATAACAACGAAAACAGCAAAGAAGAGAGCCTAAACGAACGAAGGGAATTAGAAGTTGATTTGTTTTTGTCTTCTGTTTTCGGGGTTGAGCGAGCAACACTTGAAGAAAGGACAGGGAAAGGGTAATGCGGCACAGGCTCAGGCTGTGCAGATCTTGTGCAAAACAGAATACAAAGAAGAGAATAAAAATACAAAAACCCAGAGCAGAGCATATAGGCATGCCTATGAGTATGTATGTATGTATGTGTATTAAATGAGAGAAGAGATTGGAAATCAACAAGAAATAAGAGCAAAAAGAGGGCCACAACCAAATATAAAAGCACGATCTATTTTTTTTTTTTTCGTTCTTCGTTCTTCTTCGTAGTCGTCATGTTGTTGTTTAGCATTTGCTGCTTGTTTTGCTCGCACACACCCACACATACACACACACACATTTGTATTTTTTATCGGACTGGAATAAATTTTAATGCGCCCAACGACGAATTCGCTTTGAGAAACGGAAATATTAAAATTGGGCATAATGAAAATAAAAGTATATATGTACATACATATGTATATACACACACACACACAGATCGATAAATGTATGTGTATAAGAATTTACATAGTTCTTAATATATTGCGGCTGTTGAAGCTTTCAATAAATTTTGATGATTAATTTCGCATGTGTGAGGGCAAATCTTCAATCAACGAGAAACGGTGAGGGCAAGGAGCAGGCGAATACCAAACCTTGACCCAAAGTAATGGATAAAAACACACAAACAGATAAAGTAAGCGCACAAGCGAAAGAAAAGAAGAGAAACAAAATAAATAAACTGAATTCGATAAAAGTGAAACTCGTAATACAAGTACAAACATACACACACACACGTATGTACGTATATAAATAAATAATAAATGTGCGACCAAAAAGGAAATAACAAGCAGAATGGCAAAGCGCACAAAAAAAACGCAACGCTTGAAATTCGCAAACAGAATGCGACGAAGCAGGCAGGCATTGGAAGATCAGCAAAGAGAATGAGAGTGAGGGAGCGAGCGAGAGAGCGAAAGTACTGTGCAGGCGAAAGGAAGTAAAGCTGCGAGGAAAACAGAGAAAGAGACATATACATACATACATATATGTAGCTTGGTGTCATTAAGTCTGCTTGATTTGCATAATGCAAGCGAGCTTCCTTGAAAGTATTTACAAATAAAAAGAGAAACAAAAACAAAAAAAAGAGATCTTGTGATTTATTTCAAAAGACATGTTTTACAAATAATTTGAATTAATTTCGGCGATTAATCTTCTTCTTTTTATATTTGGCAGCTGTTGCGAGGGAGAATCGTTGTTGGAATTATCAAGGTTATATAAACGCAACAATGTGCCAAAAAAAAAGTACGGCAAACAAACAAACATTTGCTTTTGGACACTATCAAACAAGAAATTAATCGAAATGGTCGTGAATGAAGATCTCTAAAATATGGAATATTCCCATGTTTATATATTTAAAATTTTATAATAAAAAAAATTATTATTATTTTATTAAAAAAATTAAATTAAGCAAAGAACTTTTTTTTTTTGTATTTCTCTATTTTCTATAACAAATAAGACTCGTAAATTAATAAAAAAAAAAAATGTATGTTACAAAAAAATTTTATTCTTAATATTTATTCTATTTAAATGATATATTTCCATACATTTTATATTCTCTCATTTATTGTTTCTTCTTATTGCCCAATTTTGTCATTTAGTGTAGATAGAAATATCTAATTTTGTTTCTCACTTTTATTTAGATGTTCGAATTTAGAATTATTGACATTGCGCCCACATGTTGGGAAATTTTCAAATTCAATCAAGTGAAGGCGCGAACGACAGGGGACAAGGAGTGGGGGCTGCACTGGAAGGCTAAAGTGTGTACTATTTACTGTTAACTTACCGCACACGCTCCGAGTAGATTTCGACTTCTTTGTTCTTCTGCTGCTGCACGAGCTGCTGCTGATCGTAGCTGGCGAGCGGCTTGAAGCCGCTGATGTTGACCAAGGAGGGCAGCTGCGGTGCTGCTGCTGCTGATGCTGCTGACGGTGTTGGTGGCTGCAGCAGGCACTTGGCCAGGCCGAGACCGTTATGTTGTTGTTGCAGCAGCTGCAATTGTTGTTGTTGTTGCTGCTGCTGCTGTTGCTGATAGTGCAACTGTTGCTGCTGCACGGGCGAGAGCGAGCTGTCTGCACTGGACTGCGAGGCCGAGGGCGAACTGGAACCGCTGGAAGAGAGACTTCCAGCACGAGCACGCAAATCTAGACCCAACACATTGTGATTGTTGTTGTTGCCATTGCTGTTGTTGTTGTTGTTGTTGCTGCTCATGAGTATGTTGCTGAGGGTTGCCACAACGCTGGGCTGCAAGCCGTTTGCATGATTATTGCTGCCGTTGCTGTTATTGTTGTTGTTGTTGTGGGGCAAACCAGAGCCAATCACACCCACATTCGGATTGGGCGTAATATTCGCCGCATTCGTGTTGATCGGCGCTAAAGCAACAACAGCTTGTTTTTGGTTATTGGCCGTGTTGTTGTTGTTGTTGTTATTATTAATATTATTGCTGGCATTTCCATTGGTGTTGCGATTTCGCTTCTTCTTCGCCTTCGCCTTTTTATCATCTTCATCGCTGCCACTGCCGCCGCTGCCAATCAACGACCGCTGGAAGCAAATTCCAGTCGGCGGCCATTCCAGATCCTTGCGCAAATGCCCACGGCCGCACTTGCAGCTGCAATTCTTATAGACCAGATCGTAGCCCTTTTTGGTCCACAACTGCTGCACACGCTGCCGCTCCGACCAGCTGCGACCCCGAGCGCTCGCCTTCAGCTGCTGCAGCACGCCCGCCTCCCACTGCTCGAAGCAATCCCGATGCATATACTGGCCCTCGTTGCAGTTCTCATTGTTGCACACCACGCGCACATAGTCGCCGAGCCGACTCTGATCGTCCAGGGCGATGAGGGTGTCCAGTTTGGTGCATTCACCGTTAGGATAGCAGCAGCGCGTCAACTGAACGCCGACGCTGAGCGTTTGCTGCATGGGCGCCATGTTAGTTGTAGACAGTGGAGTCGAGAAGTGGAGAGCGGAGTTGTAGAGATGCAGCTCCTGCTGCTCCTGCTGATGTTGCTGGAGTTGTAGCTGTAGTTGCTGCTGCTGCTGCTGTTGAGAGTTACCGCTGCTGCTGCTGCTGCTGCGACGCGGCGCCATAAATTCGCACGTGTCTAACAAATTTTTTGCTGCTCTCAACTATTTCCGTTTGTTATTTTTCGAAAATATTTTTTTTAAGCCCTGCTAAGCCACTGCCTCAGCATGTTTAAATTTTGTTTGTTCTTAAAGATTTTTTGTTTCTGTCTTAACTGTATAAAAAGTGTACACAAAATTGCAGTCTATGTTTTTTTATTGTTAATTTATTGCTAAATTTATACCTGAGCTGAGTTTACAACGCGCGTTTCTAGTATCAAAAATTTATTTTTTATTTTTACATTTTTAATTATTTTTATTAATTCACACACACGCACAAAAATTGTTTATTTGGCGGCGCCGGTTTTTGTTTTTTATTTTTTTTTTTTTATTACACCACACACTGTCTTTTATGCATATTATTTATTGAGTAGGAAAATATATATGTATACAAAACGTATTCGATACCGTTTATTTATTTTATTTGTTTTATTATGTTCTTCGCTGATTTTGCATTGTTTCGCTTTGCCCACTTCCAATTTTTAGTTCAAGTGCGGCAAACGGAGAGCGCTGCGATAAACACAACCAACCAGATCAAAAGCGAAAATCCAACTAAATGAAACGAACGGTACACACGAGCAGCCGAACAGTCTAGCGAACGAACAACAAACTGAAACTGAAATTGGAAGCACACACACACATGCACATACACAATCGCACAGCCGACCGGCAGAGGCAACACAACGTACACGTATTCTCGCTGCTGCTGCTGCTGCCGCTGCCTCTGCCTCTGCTGCTCTTGTTGTTGTTGGTGGGTGGATGGGTCGAGCTGTTCGATGTTGTCCGTCGAGCTGCACAGCCGCTGCCTGGCTCGGCAGCGTTTGGTTCAACCACGACGCTGGCAGCGCAGTTGCAAGTTTTACTTTTTTTGTTGCTGTTGTTCTTGCTTAGGGGTGAGTGGGTGTTAGGGTGGTTTGGTTGGCTGGTTTCACTTTCCACCACCACCGAAATCGACGTCGCCACCTCGCTGCGGAAAATGCTTGTTTTTCATTTGAGGAAAATTTCGTACAAGTTTTGGCGCTAAAAATCGAGATGTCGGGCGGGGTGGTTTTTTGGCAATGTATTTTCCTGGGGGGTTGGTTGGTGGAGCTTGCGGCACTTGAGTAGACGAGCAAGGGAGATGGCAAGAGATATTAACGAAAAGTTCTATTCAAATTCACTTTCAATGCGGCTCGAACATGACGCAAACGCAGCTCGTTTCCCCTACAACATGTTGTACTGCGCTGCGCAAAGTCAGTCAAATGCTCGACAGCGCACCAGACGCAACATGTATGAAGCTAGTGTGTGCATGGTCGTGTTTATGGTCGTGTGTTTGTGTGCGTTTGTGTGACGCAAAAAAGCCGGCAAAACAAACAACAGACTGCGTTGAGCAGGGTTGTCAAGTTGATTTTCGTTTGAAAATTTACCAAGAAAGTTCTGGCAGCTGATTGGAATATTCCATAAAGTTTATTTATGTGAACATTTATTCTTAGATACAGTCTAATTATACATTTAGATACATACATATACTCGCATGTCAACTGAATGTGTACATTTCGCAAGATGTATTGATACCTGTGCCAAAATACATATGTATCACACATACAAATAGATATGAATAAACCAGCATGAGTATGTGCGTACATCTTCCCATAGAATCTACTTTGTTTCGGTTTTGACTGGAATGGGACCCTTTGCAGGCCGTCTACTGCTGACTGTGCTTCCATTTGGTATATAATCCCAAAAAACACACGCACACACATGTGCAGTTACAATATTAACGTATATAAGCACAAATACATAGGCAACTTAACACAATGGCACACGAACAAAAATAAAAGAGGCATTAAAAAAGCAAGCTGAAGAAGGCATAAAACAGTAAAAGCAAAGTGGAAACATGCGAGCTACGTCGAGTCATTTGGCACGCTGCAAGGAGTATGCACTTCTCTAAACTTGCTGAAAATATTTGCCTTGGTGCATGTGTACAGTAAAATTTGCTACAATCTAATATATTGTATATTTGTATATATATATTATTGTGGATTAAATTTCATTTGATTTACATAAATAAAATGTATGAGCACAGTCATTTGAATTTTTGCACTTCACAAATGTAGGGTATTCCATAATTTATTATACCGCTTTGATGCTTTTTCGCTGTTGGTGTCAGTATCGTCGCTGTTCTCTGTTGCGCTCTTCGCATCATCGACTGCTCTTCTACTTGTGTGTATGAATGTATGTATGTACATACATATGTATGTATACATGTACATATTTATGTGTATGTATTGCTTGTTTGTATTCGTTTGAATTTTTGTGCTTCCCTTTTAGAGTCCTGTATTAAAATCGAAAAGCAAAGCGTGTTGCGAAAAGGAGGAAAAAAATAACAAAGGCAAAAACCAAAATAAGGGCACGTGTAGGTTGAGCTTTATATGTATGTATGTACATACATACATACATACAACGCATGTGTGTACTTTCAGTAGTTATACGCATACATATGCATGTACATATGTATGTATGTACATATGTACATATGTGTTTAATACCATATGGATACATACATATGTATGTACATACATACATATGTATGTAACTTCTATATACTATCACTGACCAGAGAACTCTGGTCAGTGGTACTATCGATATTCTAACGTCACAAGCGCATATACTGTGGTGTGTATACGTACATATGTTTGTGCTTACATATGTACATATGTATGTATATGTATATGTATGTATGAACATACAGAAACGAATCGAGACTTCCATCATCTGCTGGAAAGTGAAAACTGTTTTTATAGAGCAATAATTTAAATGATTTATAAACGGTATGCACATACAAATATGTATTTATGAACATCCATGTATGTACATACATATGTTTTGTGTATATGAATTTCAAAAACATATGTACATACGTATATCGATAACATAACGATACAAAATTCGATAGGTCTGCAGCAGTGCTGCTCGCACGTGTCTGGCAATATGTACATACATTTGTACGTATGTATGCAAAAAGTAGATCAAATGAAAACAAAAATACATAGAGGAACACAATAATGTGGATATACTTGTTTGCATGTGTGTTTGTGTTTCTTATAGGATTCGTTAACTAAGGACTTGCCATAAAGTCAAGGCCTTGGTCGCGTCCAACTGGCAAAGTCAAAAACTGCGTAGTTTTTGGGCCTCCTTTTGTGCCTGCCTGCCTGTCTACCTGCATGTGTGTGTGAGCTTGGATGCGAGTGTGTGCGGAGCGAAGAGAGGAGTAGCTGCTCTGCTCTGATATAATAATTAAGTCAGGTAGGCAGATCGCAGCCATTGCGTAATAAGTTCGACAGTGTGAATGGGTGAGAGAACATGTGTGCATGTGTGTATGTGTATGTGTTTGTGTGTGCTTGTTTGGTATTCTAGCTGGAAGGATCGAATAATCAAGAGGGAGCGAGAGGGAAAGATATACACACAGAGAAGAGAACAAAGAACCAGGCGTCAACGGAGGAAGTTGGAATTGGACTAGTTTGTGTTGCTTTGCTTCGTGAGTTCTTTTCTTTTCTTCTTGTCTCCTTTATTATTATTTTCCTTACTTATTATTTTATTGTGTGCGCCTCTGCGCTGACCTAATTTTAATGACCAGTAAAATGAAACTGGGGGATCGCAGTGCAACAAGAATTTTGCAGCCCTGCGGCTGGGACCATAATTCAGCCTCAGCCTTAGCTCTGGCGACGTCGCGACGTAGACGTCGTCGACGACGACGACGACGACGACACGCATCAACTTTAATTTTCATAATTAATGGCAACTAAAGGCTGCAGAAGATGTAGCCCCTGGACATGGGCATGGGCATGGTCTGGGTTGCCATAAATAAATGTCGGTCTAAACATCGCCTTTTGACACCCAGCATGAAGTCTTCCAAGACTTCCTGTTTTGCGTGTGAGAAAGCGTGTCGATATTTGGTGCCGAAGGAAACTTTGCGGCTAAGACGCAAACAAACTTGGGAGTACAGTGAAAGCTCGCCGAATGCACAGCTAACGTCTTCATGGGTTGGTTTATGCAATTTTTTCTACTTTTGAGAGTCGAGATTCGAATTTACTTGGGCCTTAGCAATTATTTGTTTACTGAAAGTGAAGGATTTCGGAGAGAGAACCTACGAATTGAATGTCAATGTAATCCTTTAACAACATATAGTCGATAATTGCCTATTTCTGCACCACAATTTATAGTTTAAGATCCAATATCTCACATTTTAAACCACAAGGTTTTTTGCCTGAAATTTTTGTATCAAAAGTCGATTATAAAGTCTCATTCTCTTTATGAAAAACTTAATTTCTTGTACTATCTTAATTTAAATGTTATATAAAATTTGAATTAAATTTATTTAAATATAAAAAACCAACAAGAATTTCTATGCTTCGTTTTTATTTTCATTCCGAATCCTATCATATTCCTCACATCTGTTTTTTATTTTTTTATTTTTTATTAGCTCTTCTTCTTCTTCAGCTTTTATGGATTTCACTGTACTCTCACTTTAAAATTGATGCATGCAAAAATCAAGTTCGCATTAAGTTGGCGGTGGTAGCGGCCGTAACACCCATACCCCTTCGACCCCTACCTCACTCAGCTGAGGCTATCGAGGGTGTGTCAGTGGTACACAGCAGATGCACAGATCCCCATATACCCTGTACATACATATATAGATATGTATATATATGTATGTATGTATATTTATTTGTATGCGTGTGGCTGGGTATTATTTGTAATTACCCATACTCCCGCATTTATCCAATCGGAAGCGGCTTTGAAACCCAAAATAGGGTTTGAAATTTTTCATGCTGGCATGACAACCACTGTCCACAGTCGAGTACATAACGCCAAAAATGTATATATACGTATGGTATATATGTATATCTGGTATATATAGTATGTATGTATATATAGACACGGTCTTTATGAGCCCAGCTGTGCACGAAGGGTGCCGTTATTTCGTTTGCCAAAAATAACTCAAACTCCATTTTGTTTTCCACTTTGTGTTTTCGTTTCATTTTTTGGTTTGCCATGCCTCTGGGGGCGTGGGGGCGTTAATGCGGGGCGTGGGCGCCCTGCTCTTATTAATTCCGCTTGAGCGTTGGAGTATCTGTCTCACTCCCTCCCTACCCCTCCCTCTTACATATGTAAACGAAATGAAGTCAGCATTCGCAATTGAAAATGGCCCAAAAACCAACATTTCAACTATTTGCAGCTCTCCCGGTTTGTTGAATATGGTATATAGAATCCTTAGAAAATAGAATCGATAGGAACATATTTATACATAAATGAGATGTGGCTTATATTGCAGGTATACCCAGCATGTATTATAATACTTGTTCTTAAACTTGATATTAGAAAAAAACCTTATTTAAATAGATTTAAAATTTGAAAATAAATTAAATATTATTATTATGAAAGAAATCTATCAAATTTAGATTACCTAACCAGGTATAAATGCCCAATGCATTACATATATATATGTATAGCATATCTCTTTTTCTATGTAAGTATGTGTGTGTGTTTGTATGTGTGAAAGCAGAAAGTGAAAGTGAGCGAGATAGCGCAACAGAGCTAAAATTTCATTTGTCCTTTGTGCTAGCATGTAACGAAAGCGAGAGAGTGCGCGCGCGAGAGAAAGACAGAGAGTGAGGAGAAGGAGTAAGCGAGAGAGGGAGGGCAAGAGAGAGACAAAGAGAGAGAGAGAGAGAGCATTAGCAGGGACAAGGACAAGGACAAGGAGACGAAGATTTTGAGGCGCACGCACTTTTCGGCTCACTTGTTTCGGGGTTATTTTTTCTACAGATGAGAGAGTAAATACATTTATACATATGTATATACATACATATGTATGTGTATGTACATCTATACAAAAACTATCTGTAATAAGCGTAGTAGGGCAACAACGTGTATTGCATATATATATATATATATATATGCATATATATATCATCTATCCTCATCTAAGTATAGTTAAATGTTTTCTTCAGCGCCTACACCTAGCTAACTCCGCCCACACAAATGTGGAAACAGCTCTAATATGGCTGAACATTCAGGTAGATTTATACAGACATTTACTGGCTAATGAAAATTAAGGTAAAAATTCAGTTAGTAATAAAAAATTTCTAGATGATTTGCTGGGTAAATATGTAGTAAGAGAAATAATATAAATAATGAAGAGAACTGAAAGATACGAAATACATAGATTCATATAACATAAATATACATGGATTGATATTGCAATGTTTTCGTAATGTATCTCAATTATATTGAAAAACTCGAGTAATATTTGGGTATTTTGTGGGAAGATTAAATAAATTGGGAAGATTACAAAATATAATAAACTAAAGTAAAATTGAAAATTTGTATACATATGTGATTGGGCTAGTACGTTTTAGGGTGAGACCTCGTAGGTGCTCTCTGCTATATGTACATATATTTACATATATACATATATGCCCAATCTACAGATATCTTAAATTAATAGATCTCTAGCATGTATCCATGTATAGATTTATCGTAATCATAGAACACATCATCCGAAATAATGAATATTATATATATTAATAAGCCATTTATTTACTTTAGCTTGAATCAAAAAGTGAGGGAGGTGCATTAAATATCAAACTACTACAAATTGGTGTTGATTATGTGAGAAAAAACGTATATAATTTATCTGAAACTGATTCATTTAAAATATTAATCCGATTACTTCTCAAAGTTTTCGAATATGCTCATTTGTTGTACGAAAGTCATCAACGAAAATGCAAATTTCGCTACCTATAAAAGGATCGTAAGACTTTAAGTTTCACTTTCAAAATATCAATTTAATAATATCTCACCTGAATATTTATGTTCAGGCATATGGGAAAGACCCCGCCGCCAAGAAAGATAATCGGCTGTTGTACCTTATGTATGAAATAGACCAGAGCCGATTTATAGGGTCGACTGGCGCCCATCCAGTGCGAATGAAATATGGCCAAGGCTAAATTTTCACAGTCCTCAACAATCAGATCGCACGTGTACGAGAATGGGAAAGTTTGAAACAAGCTAGCCGTCATATATATAGCCGTCGTAATGCCCGATATCAAGTCAGCAAATGAAACCAAGTGAATCAGAGTCGAAGCCAGCACCAAAGATACAGTCGCATACTGAACAAACATTGTGCGAGAGATCAGAGGACGCATGTTCTCACAGTAACTGCAGAGAGTAAAATATATAGATATATATATAGAGATACATAGATATACTTACTCTAAAATTAGTTTATGATCCTTGATGCATAGCACTAGTTCCCCGTAGTTCTCATCTTCAGTCATATCTGTCTGCATGCGCAATCGTTCGACCCTCACATGGAGCCACTTGATATAGGCCCTTACAGTCAGACCGAATATCAAAGGAGTAGCATCCAGTGCCAAGGTGGCATAGATGGCGAATACCTGTAGGAAATACTCCAAGATCGAGGCGATCCACAAGCTGCGAGTACCGTCACGCCAGTCCACAAAGGGATTATATAAGTTCAATGGCGGTATACCCGTCGAGATGGCATAGGCCAAGTTCAGAGAAGTCGGTATAAAATATATAACATGATATACACATATGATATAATTGCAGCGCGTCGCCAATTTGTGGACTTCGACTCTTTCCTCATATGTGACGCAGCGCTCGCTCATCACGTCCAACAGATCCTTGGCCTTATCCACGCGCCATCGGTTCAGGAGCATTATTGTCGACTTGATCGTATAGGCGGGTGCATTGAAAAACACTTCCAGTGAGGTGAATAGAGTATCGGCATGGGAGATATCTATGGTCCACATCAGAGACTGTACGAATAGGACTGGAACATATAGAGTAAAGGCCACGACCAAACCAGTCCAAACTCTATAGAGTTGCTTTTTCATATAGCTATACGACGCGGTCGAGCCCCAGCCCAAGTTTCTCAGCATATAGTCCAGATATTTATAGGCGTGGCGCGAATGAAACAGATTCTCCCCTTCAGCTTCTCGAAGATATTTAAATTTCATTTTTCCACAAATCTTCTCACAGCACTCAAAGCTCAAGTTAACTGACGAAATCTAACTGGAAATTGCTTTATATACAGGTCTATAGACCACTTAGATATTCTCGATTTTTGCTATAAATTAAAAAAAAAAAAAATGTATGATATGCAAATACTTATACACTATAAGCCTATGAGCTTTAGGGTTTTCTGTAGATTTTATCAAACTCTCATTATAGATTATGTTAAAAATTTTGAAAACTTTTAAATAAATATGTTTCAATCAAAATCTGTTACTACTTAGGGTATGAGGTCGATGATAATGATCTAATTAAGCACAAAAAATTTATGTATGAAATGAAATATCGAAGTTGATATATTAACTCTTTATAAAATCCACAGAACAAATTAAGTAGAATTTTGTATTACTCTATATATATATCACATAAATCTAAAGCGTATTCAATATTCTAGGTGGCAAACAAATAACTTTTCTTCATAATTGTAGAGAAAGTTCTTGCGACTTTTTCTTTTGTCCAAGTCATTGAGAGAATATTTAATCTATGGCTGAGAAGAAAAGTTACAGCTATTTTTTCTGAATGGGCGTATTACCAATTGAGGATATCCGATATAATTCCCTAACAGAATCTGGCAAAATTCTCACAGTCAGAATCAAAGTTGAAATCAAAGTTGAAATAAAATCAATCAGCCAAGTACATATATTATTAAAATATACACTATTTTAAATTCCAAATAATATATTTATTGAACAAAGTGCATTACATGATTCAATAATCTATTTTATAGTGCATCTACTTTGTAGTGCATTTTGTATCTCATTTATGAGTCAAGGATATATGTTTATTTAGATATGACTTCTAACACACGGCTCTTTCGGTAATTCAACGTTCAAAGTTTTCAAATACGCTCATCTGTTGAACAAATGTTGTCAAAGTGAATGCAAATTTAGCCACCTTGAAGATGTGAGAGGGAGAAAAAATAATATATATTTAATAATCCCAAGAAAAATACCTTGAAACATCTCAACTTACTTGAATATTTACGTTCAGGCATATGGGGAATACGCCGCCAGCTATAAATTGGATTGGTTGCTGGGTCCTGTGAATGAAATACTTAAGGGCCGAAGTGTAGGCGCCGGTCGCACCCCTCCAATTCGAATGAAATATAGCCATCGATAGTAGTTCACAGTCATCAACTAACTGCTCGCAGATGTACGATATTGGAAAAGTTTGAAACAAAGCTGAGACCATATAAATGGTGGTTGTAATGCCCGAGACCAAATCCGCAAAAGCTACCAAATGAATTAGTGATGATGCCATCACCAAGGATGCTGTGCAATACTGAACAAACAAGGTACGAGATAGCAGAGGACGCATGTTCTCGCTGTAACTAAACGAAGGAAATATTGAAGATTAAGAATGGAAAAACGAATATTTGAGATTTAGGATCGAAGATAGAAGTTTGAAGTTTGACGATTGTTAATTGAAAATAGAAGATTGTACCATTAAGATTATAGAGTGATTAATTCTAATAGAAGATTGATGATAGAAGAATTGAGATTGAAAGATGAGTATTAAAAATTAGAATTTATTGAGATAGAAAATGATTGAAGCTGGAAGATTGAAGATAGAAGACTAAAAATTAAAATTTCTTACGGGTATACGAATATAATAAATTTTAATGTCTATAATAAATTGTAAATCCCTCCTATACACGACTTAGATATATTTATATTCAATTTTCACTCACTCCACAAGAAGCTTATGATCCTTGATGCATTGAACAAGTTGCTGGTAGTTCTCATCCTCAGTCATTTCGGGATTATTGCGCAATTCTTCGATCCGGTCTTTCAGCCATTGTGTATAGGATCGCATAGTCGACCCGAATATCAGAAGCATAGAATCTGAGCCTATGAAGACATGGACCGCAAAGATCTGTAGGAGATAGTCGCAAAATGCTGCGATCCACAGACTGAGCGTATCCTTATGCCAGTCCACAAATGGATTATACAAATTTAGAGGCGGATATCCCTTGTAGAGGCTATGGATTAAATTCAGTGTCGTTGGTACCATGTATACAATCCGATATGTAATTGTTATGTAATTGGAGCTGACGGCCAATCGATGAAGTTTCACCCGCTCTTCGTATGTCACCATACGCTCGCTCATCACGTCCAACATGTCCTTGGCCTTGTCCACACGCCATCTGTTGTGGAGCATTATGCACGACTTGATCGTATAGGAGGGGCCGTTGAAGAACACCTCGAGCGTGGTGAACAGAGTATCGGCATGGGAGATATCAATGGTCCACATAAGCGACATTACGAATAGAACGGGAACATATAGACTGAAAATGACGACCAAAACCGTATACAGTCTATATAATCGACGATATATGTAGCCACGCCCCTCGACCGAGGCCCAGCCCAAGAAGACTATAATATCATCGACGTATTTGTAGCCGTCTCGGGCTGCAAGCAGATTTTCCCCATCTGGTTCTCTGATATATTCGAAAATCATTGCTGGAGTTGAATCTCTCTATGCACAATATTCGCAGTTCACAATTATCCGCAACTGAAGTAAGCTCCTTGATTTGTCAGTATTTATACCTTTCTAGCGCAATGCAATAATTCCCACCAGAACAAATTATGTTTTCGCAGTGGAAAAGTTTAGAAAACTTTTCCCCATTAGTTTTTCAACAAAACGGTAAATTTCTTATTTTATATTTATGAGTTTACAATTAAAAGTTAAGCTAATTGTTTTCACTTAATTAATAAAATATTAAGTTCAAGAACTTAAGAATTTAATTAGCTGAACTACGAATGAGTATATAGAAATATATAGTATGCATTTGCACACTGAGAAAAATTAGCATGCTGTCATGTGTCGTGGCAGGGGTCGTAGTTAGTATACTTAATAAATCGATTAACGATAACTTCAATTATGGGTAGTGCAATTCGCTTGAGTCGAATTAGTTCCAACTGTACCTGAAAGCGATAAAAATAAGTACATGTGTATGTCACAAGAAACTTGCAGGCTCTAATGCTATATCATAGCAGCAAATAAATTTGGTTCTCTTATAACTGTTATACGCACAGAGCCAAAGTGTCATAAAATTCTTCACAGATGATGTTTAGCGCTTGCAACGGGACCAACTCAAAGCGAATGCGTGTGGGTGGCTTTTGCACAAATATACAAACACACATACGCAGTTACATACATATGTATGTATGTTCGTATATGTGCATGTATACATTTAAAAACGGAATTTACACTAACACGCTGACCTTCAACATTATTTTGGCGGCAGTGGTGAAGACAGGCGAATGAACACAGCAGCAACAAAAAAATTGGCAAACGGCGTAAAGGAAGTATGGCAAAAGCCAAAAATGCATACATATACACAGACACATGCACATAAGCAGCACAGAAAAACATGTGCATTATGCATGCAGCACACACACACACATACAGCTGCATAATCATATGGCTGCAGCTGTGTGCGTGCGATTTTATAACATAAAATTGAAATTTGCTGCATGAAAACGAAATTTGCTGCAAAACGAACGAAGCGTTTGGTTTGATGGCGGCCACACTGACGCCGACTGCGACTGCGGCAGCAGCAGCAGCAACAGCGATTGCAGCAGCGACAGCGACAACTTCAGTTGCAGTTGGGTTTGAGGCATGCGCGCGCATTAGGAGCCGGCCGTGCCGAGCATGCAACACAACTCCAACATAATGCCGACGTCGACGTCAGCAGCAGCCGCGCAGTCGCTGCTGTCACTCGGTTTTCAAGTGCAAGTCCAAGGGCAACTTCGTGCAATTGCAGCGGGAATGGAATGCGACGGCTGACGCTGCGTTGGCGTCGCTGCCTTCCAGAACCTGCTGTCTGCTGCCTGCGCTCCAGACCTTGAAAGCAACTTCGTGTTGCGTTCGTTTAACACTTCGTTTAGATGTGTGTATATGCAAGCATATGAATGTATGTATGCGTATATATACTCTCACTACCAACAGCATGCTCACTCACACACACACACACTCACACAGGCAACTCGCTTGCCTACTTGCACTCTCTATTGCCTTTTGCATTCGCGTTGGTTGTGTTGGTTTTGCACATTTTCTGTTTTATCGCCATTTCTATGGCTCTTTTTCGCAATAACCAAGGACTGACTGCACGATACTGCTGGCGGCTGCTGGCTGCGACAATGAAGAAGGCGAAGGAAAGGAAGGAGGAAGGAGGTGCGCGCTGTATAATGCTGGTTATTTTTTTTTTCGAGTGGGCAGCAGCATAGAACAGGCCGCCGCCGCTGCCTTAGCCGCCTGCTGCTGTTATTGGTCTCTTCTTCTTTTGCTGCTGCTGCTGCTGCTTCTGCTGCTTTTTTTTGTTACTCTTCGTTCTGCTGTCCAGTTTTTGACATTTCGCCCACTTTTTCCTGTTCTTCCGGTTTTTGTTTTGTCTGCTTTCCTGTTTTCGACCCATAATCCTGTCTCTGCCGCCCGCCTGCCTGCCTCTCTGCCAGTCTGCCGCGCTTTCAGCCTGCTTATGTAATGCCAAAAACGTGTTCTCTGCTTCGGGCTTTATCACAATGTTTTCTATGTACGAATCGAAATTTAATCAATGTTATCACTTGTTCTCTTCTTCGTTTTGCTCGGCGCGTTTTTCATGGAGACGACACGAGTTGAGGCGTGTGCAAAAGCTCCAAATAATATTGTTGTATAACTGTTATACAGACACATACATATCTAGGCACATATGTACATATATATTCAGTGGAGTTCCATGGCATACAACTTCAGAATAATGAAAACAATAATAATATTTCATGTAAAAGAATTATTAACTGAAATAGAACAATATAAAAAGGTTTATAGATCGAGGAAGATTATAGAATCTATATCATATACATATTGTTGCTAAGCCGTAATATTATCAGCCTATACTCGTTAGTTTATAGATTATTATAGTATTCATTCATTTGATATCGCATGAATTCGCATTATATTATATTATATGAGTATATATTTTGTCTTGAATATGAATCCCTGATTTCTATGTATGCTCTAACTAGAATACTCTTATATGTATGTGTGTCTATTGCAGCCCATTCTATGATTTGCATTTACAGACATATATATAAGTATAGATATGTGGGAGTTTGTAGTTTCTCGAGTTATTTGAGCACGGTTCTCCGCTTTGGCCATTATCTATGCCAACGCTACTCGCCTGCCCCAAAAAGTAAGGGCTCGATAAAGGAGTTGCCAGCCCAGAGAGAAAAATAAATAAAAAAAAAAAGCAAACAAAACAAAACGCGTGCGTCGTGGTGGCAAAAATGTTAGCCAAAAGCCGTGGGCCATAAATAAACCTCAATCGCAGCCGAGTCGCTCCACCGAGCCAACGAGCCAACGAGCCAGCGAGCCAGCGAGCCACTCCACTCAAACTCCAAGATCAAATGTGCGCATAAAGCATTCAAACATGCCTGGCAACAAAAGGGCTGCGGCCCGGCCCCTTTCCGCCGCTCGCTGGGGCACCTCCTACTCCTGCCTCCTAGCGTGGCAAGCGGGCGCTCTCGCTGCGCAGTCGCCGTTGCAGCAACCACCAATGTCAGCAACTCCGCCTCGACCATGCCCAACGGCCGCCGGCCCGCCCGCCAGCCGCCTCCTCTGTCCAAACGCAATACGCGTGTCGCTCTCTCGACCAAAAACCCAGCCCCGCGGCCCAAACTTGCCACATGCAACAACAGCAGCGGCAGCGGCAGCGGCAGCGGCAGCAACTTTCCACGTTCTTGATCGTGAATTTTCTATGCTACTGGGCCTTGAAACCTTGAACAAAAAAAAAAAAAAAAAAAAAAAAAAAAAAAAAAACAGAGAGAAGTAGAAGTAAGAAATTGTTGTACACAGCAGCAGGCGGCATGGGGCATGGAGCATGGGCGGCATGTTGCCAAGGGGGCGCGCTGTGTGGGTGTGGCTGGAGTTTGGCGCAGCAGCTCTGCCGCATTACGTCAGTGCCACATAAGCTGCAAGTAAAAGGGAAACTTGGACTCCATCCAATGCGGAGTTTTAATGTCACTTTGCCAGAGCTACAGCTACACATACACACACACACACACACACACACATATATATATAGATACAGATACACACTTACACAGAGATACTTGAGTTACTTGCCAGACACACACACACATACATACTTACATACATGTATGTATATGTATTTGTGTGTATATATCTATGCTTTGCTGTCGTTTTTCTTAGGCAGTTCTTTTTGCTGTGCCTCTTCTTATGCTCTCCGCCTCCCCCTCTCTACTTCCCCGCTCCTCTTCCGCTCTCCCTTCCCCTGCTTGCCATTCGTCAAGAGTTGCGCCTGCTTTTCTGCACATTTGTTTGGCTTCATCGCGGAGTTTGGCCAAGACTTTGGCTCTGGCTTGGCCGAGGTCGCGTCTGTGTGTGTGTGTGTTTGTGTGTGTGTTTGTGTGTGTGCGTTTGGGACAAGGTGTTTTATGTTGTTAATGGCCCTATGCGGTTTAGCTGACCCGCCTCCGCCCACACCCCATTTCCTGCACATTTTCCATGCCTATCTGAGTCTCCCTCTCTCTCTCTCTCTCTCTCTCTCTTTCTGTGTGAGTTTTTCTTTCGTTTTTGCAGCAGCTTTTGCCAATTTGCGTTTTATTTTCCACACACAGAAAAGGGAAATCGAAGTTATGGCCAAGCTGTTTTGGTCCTTTATGCTGCTACTGCGCAGCTCCATAATAGATTCTGATTTTATTTTTTTTTTATTTTTATTTTTTCTTTGTGGTTGCCTTAGTGAGTCATCACTGTGGTTAGAGTTGCTCTCGCCTGAAATTGCTTTGTTTTGGCGCCCGTGCTGCGGCATAACTTAATTTAGCTTAGAGAGTTGTTGGGGTAATACCAATATATAATCTATATATTCGAGTGAAGGGTTTGGCCTTTCATAGACATTCACTGGAGAAAGTTATGTACTAAAGAGGATTGTATAGGGATTGTACTTTATAGATTTAGTTTAAAAATTGAGCTGAAAAAAACTTGGAGATGAATCGAGTGTTATAAAAAATTGTATATATCAATTTTTAAGTGAATTGGGAGTATAAATTTGAGAGTGCGATTGGGAATAGAATAAGACAATAAAAATAGTTTACTTTGGAACTCTCAAAAGCTCTCTTAACTTCAGCTTTCCCGTTAATTGATTTAAACGTTAAATTTCCTTACAATTCACAATTTTTGCCAGGTAACAGGTAAAACCCATCTAGATTTACAGCAAACACCCTCAAAGCCCTTCACAGCCTTTATCTAATCTGCTTTGTGCTGTGTCAGCCTTTTCTTTGTTTTTCTTCTTTTATATCTCACATGAAAAGGAAAGTGCTCCAATACACACACACACACACATACAAACATGCTGCAGTTGTGTGTGTTTGTGCCTTGGCCAACCCCAAATTGGCCAGCATATGAAATACATATCGAAATTTTAGCGCAGCTCCACCCATTGAGAGGCAGCACACGCCTACATTTGGGCCTCGCGCAGTCAGTGTAACTCGATGGCCGATTCTCCAATGCGATTCGAAAGCTCTGCAGCTCTTTGTGATTATACAAATATTCATCAAATATATGGTATATATGTATATATATTTTGTATATATTTATATATATATTAAATTTGCTGTTGGCGTCACAGCAGCTTAACAGATTAATTGCACGAC